AAATAAGAAAAAAAAAGGGGGGGGGGATATTACAATCATGAATTATTTTGCTCATCATAAGACATCATATACTGCTGAACACTGTAATAATAGAAAAAAAATACATGAAACTATTTAAAAAAAATAACAAAGGTAACATAAGAAATTCATTTAGATTGGCGCAAGACTGGTATAAAAAATCAAATGCTTCCTTCCTATAAAGTGAAAAATAGAGGTCTAAATCGTCAATGTTCATCATAAATTGAAATAAAGCATGCTTAAAAGAAGAATATATTTGGCTTTTTAGGATATATTTCAATTTTAGGAATAATTTTGTATCAAAAATGTGTTTTTGTCCTCTTGGAAAATATAGGCTTTTGCTACTTTTTGCCAATTTGATTGGCAAAAACCTGTTTCTGCCAGGACGGTTTTTACCGGTATTTACCATGGTTTTTTCCACGTGCGGCAAAATCTTGCCAACCCTGATAGAATGACTTAATGTTTTCATCTAACGCTTGTTATAAATAAACATTTAAAAACAGATTCTTACTTTTGGCTCAGTTGCTTTCAACTTCAATTCTAGAGAAGTTACAGTTTCAATATAAGCTTTTTTATCCCTTTCTGCAGTTCTGTGAAGATTTTCAATTTCGTGCTGCAAATTGGAAATATCTCTTCCTTTGGCTACAAGTTCCTCTTTTAATATGTTATAATCAGACATTCTTTCGAATTTTCGCACAAGATTTGTATTCTGAAAATATATGAAAAATAAATATCGAGCCAAGGCAAAAGTGTAAGAAATGCTTTATAACTGAAAGCTTCAGAAAAAATGGAACAAAAACAAATTTATAAATTTTTTTTTTTTTTTTTTTTTGCATTAATAAAAAATCAAAAGTTCAATTATTTATTTTATTTCCAATGAGCTGCACAATCGGTCTTGCCGATGAGCAGACCTAGTGCGTTAGTTCAATTATTGGACACGCAAATTATTATTATTAGTTTACATCTATTATCATCTAAGATTATTATAATTAGACATCTAGGAAATACCACAACAAATAAGATTTTTGTTCACTACAAATGAAATTGTGAATTCCATTCCACAAAAATAAATTTTAAAATAGGAAAAATTAGTACATCAGGGGTCTGTCTAGGTTTTTACGAGAGGTACCTATTTCGCAAAAATTTAGACATAATTTGCGAAAAATTAAAAATTATATTAAAAAACCAACACAAAAATATGGATTCTTAAGGGATACAAAAATAAAATTTTAAGAAAAAGTATTTTGTGAAACTACCGTTTTTCCTAAAATTGAATTTGTGAAACTACCGTTTTTCCTAAAGTTTAATTTGTGAAGGTACCGCTAAACGGTAGTAAATTCGGCCTGGACAGACCCCTGTACATATTTTGTTTGATGGTTCAAGATTGCTTAACAGGAACTAAAATTAAATTAGTATAAATTACGAACAACAAATTTGAATTAAGATACTTCAAAAAAATATTAAAAAATCATGCTTTAGAAATAAATGTATAACAAAAAAACAAGACGACAAAAATATATAAAATGAAAATAGGACAGTACATAAATTTTTTTTATTATAAAAGTTGTTTGCATACCTCATCTAAAAGTGAATTGTATTTTTCGTGAACAGACTTATACATTCTGTTTGCATCATCAAGCTCCCGTTTAAGAGTATCTAATTCTTCTCTATGAGTAGACAATTCAAACTCCATATGCTCTAGTCTAAATTATAATATGTATCAAAGTTTTTTTTTAAATACTCAAAACAAAAATTAACAAAAGTTTTTAATATGCAGATAAAAAATAATTAACTAAGTATTTATAATATAGAAACATATTTTTAGGGGTGGGATGGCATAAAGTCTTTCCTACAATTTATATACACAATAAATTGAAATATAGACCAAATTTAAAGCACTATAAAAAAAATCAGCAAGGATTTTTATCACACTGATCTAAATGGGCCTGCGCTCTGAAAATATTTATCTATTTTTTTTATTAGTAGAAAGTGATCTTAAAATTGTCAATTGCGAGCAAACTATTTTTATAATGTCAATTGTAAGCAAACTATTAGAAATTTAAGTAAGATCAAATTCTTATTTAATGCAGATATTTTGAATTAGGCTATATAAGAGGTTCCTAGAATGTCAAATCTATAATAAAATTTATTTTGTATGTTGTGCTTATAATAAGATAATTATTTTGTTTATAATATTTGTTATATTTTTTTTATCCGTTTTATGTTAAGTAATAATAAGATTAAAAAAATATTAATTATACTGCCAGGGAGCTAATAAGGTTTTAACTAAATAAAATAATATAAATATTTCAAATGTTAAATTGTACCTAAGTAGGAACAAACATGCATAATGTTATATTATGGTCCATTTAAAATACAAGGATGAATTGATTTACTAATTATTTTGAAAAGAAATACATTTTAAAAAATATGAAGTTTTTGCATTCAGATGCAATACCAATGTTTAACAGTGCATTACTGCATGAAATCTAGGTTTAATTATGCAAAGCACGCAAAATATATAATTATTGAAAAGAATCTACCATTATCTATAAAAAATACTTAATTGTTGGGGATAAAATTTCAAAATTATGGAGAAAAAAAAACACAAAAAGTAAAAGCTATTAAATGTATGTATGTATCTTAATATAAAACAATTAATTAAAATACATATAAAAATATTACTAAATAGATGTAAATTTGAATACTCATAATAATATGAGAATTCACTTGACCATTATGCTGTCATAAATTTGGCCTTACACATATATGAACCTGCATGTTCTTGACTGTATTATTTTTAAATATTAAGTAAATATAAAAGCTTCATACAGATCACAGAACTACCATGTCAAAAGAAAAAAAATATTATCAGAATATAATATTTAAAATTGGTTAAACTTTTGAGCATGTGGATTTAGCGGCATTTTTCAAAAATCATGTGGAATTCTACCCAAATAACTTAATGTTCTATATCTATTACGGAGTCCCCAGAAAGCTTAAATATCCATAACTGTTTCAGTGAAGGTAAAACAATTAATTTTCTTATAGCATGTTTTTAGAAGCTAAGAAGTGAAGCTCTACATTTATGAACAGAGGTAATGAAGAGGTTAAGTAGTTAAAGATATATTTCTATTCTATTTTAAGAAAAATTTAAAAAAATTATATTTTAGTCACTCTACAACTTTCATCGACTGTATTTTTTAAGCAAAATCTCTAATAACTTTCGGACTTACTAATGTGCTTAAACTTCTTGATCTTCCATCAGTTATAATTAATTAATAAAAAAAACCTCATTCCACAGAAACTTGACCATGAGAAAATGTGAGAACTATTATAGTTAACAAATGATATATGCCTCACAATTCGACTCTCATCTTTAAAACCAAATCACTATTCCAATATTTTTTATCAATAGTAGTACAGTAGAGAACCGATTATCCGGAACGATCGGGACTATCGCTATTCCGGATAACTGATTTTTCCGGTTTTCTGAATCGCTACAAAAAGCCGTTTTTTTAGTGTTAAACCCAACTAAAAAAAAAAAATATTTGGAAATAATCTTAAAAATAAGAAAAAACGATGAGGTAATACACTAATGATTATTTCTGAAATGATGGTAAGGTAAACATCTTTCAAAAAAGAAAGAAAAATCCTAAAATCCCATGAGGAAAAGAAAATTTTTTTTAAAAATTGCGGGAAAATGTATCGAATTTTGTTCCGGTTTTTTGGTTTTCCGGTTTTCTGATTTCCGGATAACGGGTTCTGTACTGTATTTTCAATTTCTTAGAGATTATCTTCATTTGTACATATTCACTCTTTGGTCAGCTTCAAATAAAATATGGAACATCATGTAGGGTTATCTTCTAACAATTGGAAAAGTAGTCATTCTTTTTCTATTCGATGATAGCATTACTGCCAGTCGAATGCAATAAATTGAAAAAAGCGCAATGAAGAAATAGAATAAAAAATCCAAAGAAAAATATAGGATATTTAAATATATAGGATTTATAGGAAATATAGGATACTTTTTTACCCATTTGTAAAAATATAGGATTTATAGGAAATATAAGAGGCCTTCTACCCCTGTACTTAGAGATGCCGCCTTGCTCCGACAGTGGATAAATATTTTCGAGTGGTAGTCTTTTAATGTATGTTTCTTGGTTTAATAAATTTGATTTATTGGGTTTTTACATACCACTATTTGTAAATAATTCAAAGGTTTAAGTTATAAGACCTTTTGCCGCAGTTAAGCAGCGTCAAGCCTTTTAAAAAGTCAACAAAATTAATAAAAAATCAGCAAATTTTAGTTTTTAGTTCTCAACCACTTTTTAAAATATTCTGTCTTGTTCAGAGCAGTTGAAAATCTCTGTGTACTACCTGTTCTTCAAAATACATAAAATACAAATTCTATCAATTTTACTTGTAGCAATTTGGAATAATTTTGAAAAACAAGTTTGTGACCTTAATTTTGGACATCAGTGTATTTACTTGGACACAAGACAATAGTTAAGAATAACTTTATGAACTTTCTACGAAACAAAAAACAATAAGGAAAGAGGAAACAGTGTTAAGTAATTTTTCCAGCGTCAACTTACCTTTTTACCCTTTCTTTTAATTCATTATGCAACCCTGCAATTTCTTTGTCCTTCGAATGCAATTTTGCAATGTGAATGTCTTCAACCTCTCTGATTTTCTTTTCAAGTTTATTTTCCTGTTCTTTTAAAAACAAATCTTTATCAACCTACAAAGATTAAAATTTTGTATTAAGAACACATAAATAGTAAAAGGAATTTATTCTTACAAATAATGAAAGTTATTTATAATAATAAAGAAAATTGTATTAATATCACAAAAAAATTATTTTAGAACATTATAACACACTCCAAATAATGCACTCTACAATTTTTTTTAAAAAATCAACATTTTTATAATTGATAGCTAATTACCCACACCTATGCACTATTCACAAAAAAATTTCATATGAATAGCATAGATTTTCTAGAGTGTTGATTCACACAACTTTCTGGGTATGCAACTGCTTAGGAATCAGTAAAATAGTGTAAAATATATATTAAAGTATCTAAAAACAATAAAAAATGTAATTAAATTTTAAAAAAATTGTAAGGTCTATGCACATTTTATGTAACAGAATTAGCACTAAATCAAATAAATGTTAAAACAGTTCTGTTAAAAAAAATGGAAGGAGCACATAAAACAAATAAGAACCCAGAAAAAATATAAAATAAGTTACAAAAAAATTTATTGCAAAGGAAATCACTTAACACTGTTTCACTATTTAAATACTGTAGAGTGCCGATTTACTGGATTGCCTAATTATCTGGATCATTCAAGGACTGTTTTTCCCGAAAAAAAAGTATATAGAGAGAAAATTGTAATCGTGCTTTACTTTCAGAAAATGTAAAAGGGGTCCAAAAAAGGCTTTTTTTTGTCCCTCAGAGACCTTTCCAATTTAAGCTTTTAAACTCGCCATTTGTAATATGCTATAATAGAGACTACTACAATCGCTAATCCTAAACCTGGAAAAAAAGTATGAAGGGAAGTTACTTAAAAACACCCTTATAGCCACATTTTAAAGTTGTATAATTATCCGGATCAGCTTTAGTCGTAACTGGTTTAGATAATTGGAGCTCTACTGTATAGTACGTCAAAAAAAAAAAAAAAAGAAATACCACCCTGAATAACTTTTGATCTAATGATTGGATTTTCACATTCTAGGACTCAATCTTAATGACACAAGGGGGTGATTTCAAATATGCTAATTAATAAGTGCAGTTCTCTGAATAAACACACCTTTCTTTTCAATGGATTTGGATTTTTGACCCTGAAGATATAGGGGGTAGCCGCAATCTGGGAAATATAGTCCCCATAGTTTGGTCAGGAGAGCGATTCAAAGTTTTGACCCCTTATTGTTAGTTTTATTTTTGCGTATTTCACCATACCTCATGAACTTTTTAAGTGAATTAAAAATTTTTTTGCACACAGTTATAAAATTCGCTTGTAAGAACATAATTCCATGCAAAAAATAGATTTCAATAGATGTTTATTATTATTTTATCAAATAATAGTCTAAAAAATTTTGAACTGTGAGATATACAAATTTCTGCATAATTTTACAAGGCAAAATACAAAATTTGAGCAAAATTGGTCAAATAGTTCCTTTTTTAAAATTCAATTTTTCAAGAACTATTCACAAAGATTTTGCTCAAATTTTGAAATGTAAAATGATACAAAAAATTAGATAAATATATATATTTCTTTAACCATTCTAAAAGAAAATAAAAAATATTTACTGAAAGTTATTTTTTACATGTAATTATTTATGGATACACGAATTTTAATGTGCAGAAATGTTTTCAATTCGCTTAAAAATTTCTCGCGATGTAGTAAAATACAAAAAAAGAAAAATTAACATTAAGGGGTCCAAAGCGCTCTCCTTACCAAACTATTGGGACCAGATTTCCCAGATTGTGGCTAGCCCCTATATTTAAAAATAAGAATATTTTTTTTCAGTGAAAAAAAAATTTTTTTTTTTTATTCAGAGAAAGTACATTTTTGTGTCTGATTTCGTAACATAAAATATTTTCTGCACTTATTAATTAGCATGTTTGAGATCACTCCATTAAGATTGAGTCTTAGAAAGTGAATTTGCGATTATTAGATCGAAAGTTATTCAGGGCAGTTTGATCTTTTTGCGCAATGCACATTAAAATAATCTACACACTAGACATTATTATTTTTAAAACTTCTAAGAGTGAACACTGCCAGGGGTGATTGTGAGCTCAACTCAAACATCCTGAAAATCGAAAGTCCATCGAGTAAAATCATTGACGCATTTCAAAAAATAAATTTAAATGATAGGTATTTTAAAAACATGAAATTCTAAATAAATTATATGCAACAGAATTTGAATGAATTATAATGTATAAGTTTACTTTTATGTCTAATCACATCTATTTTTCTAAAAGAAAAATATTTTCAAATGAAAGAGATGCCAAGAATAAATTCTAGTTCTACTATTTCTAAATAAATTATACCAGAATTTTTAGACATAAATGTGATCAATGATTTCTTAAAACTTCTAGACCTTGGATTTCCGGATTGCAGTTAGCAAAAAATCTAGAAACCTGAACTTTTTCCGGTGCACAATCATCTCTGCACTGGTAAAAGCTTAATATGCATGAACTCCATTATTTTTATTACTATATCATACATAAATGTAGCATATAAATATTCTATTTCAGCAGAATAACACTTTTAAAACAAACAGTTAAGGCAATATGAAGTAAAATATTTCATACTTTTAACTTTTCTCTTTCACTAAACAATAGATCTCTTTCTTTTTTAATTTCCCTTCTTTCCTGGTCTATTTCTTGATGAAGTGTCTGTTCTTGTAGATGTAAACGTTCAAGCTCCTGCACAAGTTTATGCCGCAAATTTTGTATTTCTTTATCTCTTTCGTCTCTTATGGATTGAAGTTGATCATAGTAACTAGATTCCAATGATGAAGCTCCACTCAATTCTTTTATTCTAGAAGTTTTTTCTCCAAAAGTTTCGAACAGAACATGCTTTTCACTGCTTGATGGCAATTTATCTTTAATTCCAACTTCTAAGGATGAATTCATAGCATTTTCAATAGGTTGGTTATCCTTATCTGATATAAAAATAATAGATTTGATTATTGCTAGTAACAAGGAATGTAGTCCTTCCTTTTCATTGTTAATTAAATACAAATCACTAATTTTTTTATATTCTGAAGAGTTGTTGTCTAAACCGACAAGAGCTAATATGTCACCAACAGCTAGGAGTTTCTCAGGATAAGGCAAATTTGTTTCACTGACAAATGTGGATAAAGTATATTGGTAACCTTGTCTTATTAAGTGGTCATATACAAGCCAATTGCAAACCTAAAAGAAAGAATTTAGTATAAAATTTAATGTAAATACATAAGTTGATATTGCAGAAGTTATGTGTTAAAATAAACTTTAAAAAATGTATGTTATAATATTTACAGTAACTGCTTTTTTAAATAAGTACTAACAGATTGTTACATTGGTGCAGAAAATGTTCAAAGCTAAATATTTCCCCAGAACAGTTTTTTTTTCTGGTTTGAAATTTATCCTAAACTTACATTTTTCTTTCTAAACGCACATGTTGTCAGGCTATCAAAGCAAGAGAGCCATCCTCTCTGTAGAGGATCGAAATTGCGATGGTATGTCTTCGGATCATCCTCAGGAATGTTTTCTTGACCGTCGCCAACAGCCCATTCTGCAGTTCAAGTGCAACGTAAACAAAGTACCTACCTACCTCTTTCTAAAAGTTATAATAACTTTTTTGAAGTATTTTTAGAAAGTAAAGTTCATAGATTAAAATATGTTTCAATAATAATTTTTCCTTTAATAAATTTTTTTTTATACATACTTCTTGAATAAAATAGCATATGCATTAAAAATAATATAATTCAAAATCAATTGAAAATGTAATAATCTATAAAAATAAATATAAGGTTTTAACAATAACGATATTTTTAAACAATAAGTTGAAAATGCATGAGTGCAAAAAATGAGCTAAAATAAACTTTAAAAAATGTATATTATATTATTTAAGCGATGACTTACATTTTTCCATTTTTCTTATACAGTGTTTTCACTACAGCGTGAGCGATATTTTTAAACAATAAGTTGAAAATGCCTGAGTGCAAAAAATGAGCTAAAATAAACTTTAAAAAATGTATATTATATTATTTAAGCGATGACTTAGATTTTTCCATTTTTCTTATACAGTGTTTTCACTACAGCGCGAGAATCTCGCATATTTTTTTCTTTTCTTGCATTAAAAAATGATTACAGCGAGCAATTCGCGCATTCTATAAATCAATTTCAAAATTCGTGAATTTCTCGTATTTTGGAAAAAGCTTTGAATTACGCCATTTAGAATAAAATCCATTTCACTTTTCCTTCTGGATCTTTCATTATTTTCAACATCTGCCCCATTATCTAGCTTCTCTATTTACCAGTATTGTTCAGAACCTTTTCGAACAACAGAACACAACCAGGGAACGCCTTTCAGAACACATTTCTCTGCAACCACGTGTTTACCGTAGGTAAGGTTTCTTCATTGAGACGTTCAAATTTTTTATGAACTTATGTCAGATGGACAAATACCTTGTAAAGGCAAAATCTTCTATGATGATGCCCCAAAAATATTCAATGCTTTAAAAAATAGAAGACGTTAAAAATGTATTATAATTAAAGAAATGATTTTTTTTCAAGAGTTTTTGTGTTTTTTTAGTTTTTAGAAATCTCACTTAAATTTTTGAAATCTCACCCTGTTTTTGAGAAAGGGTGAGAAATTCTCATTCATTTTTTTTCTATGATGAAAACACTTATACCTTATTTTTTCATGAACTACATTTTTAATTTAGCAATATGATTTAACAATAGCAAGTCAACGAATCGGTAGTAGCAATTTATGTAGGTTGAAAAAGAAGACACAAAAACATTTTCAAGTTGCTTTAAATAAATGCTTATTTATTATCCACAAATGACAACCTTTCTCCTTATGCTAGCTACCAATGACCATAGCTGTTTAATACACTTTTAAAGGGGATGCTGATGAAAACCCAGCGAAATAGCCAGAAATAAACACCTTAAGGCATAATCTATCAAAAAATTTAATAGCAATTTTTTTAAAATATTAATTAGACTATATTAATAATAGACTGATATTAATTAGACTATTTACCTGAATATCCTCCAAACCTCGATTAGACATATTCTGAACCCCTGGATTTTTATTAAGAGCAAAAGTGTTTTTAATTGTTATTCATAGGCATAATATATAAAACAGACCAGGTGGGCTATGGTTGACTCTAATGTATGTTGTTGTAAAATTTTTCGTTCATAGTTTTCATAATTTAAAATTCACCAAATTTTTAAAAATATGAGATAAACATTAATGCACAGATCTATACTTCCATTATTTGAATTCTCTATTTTTATTGATTTACTGATTACTTTATTTTTTAAAAGCTCTAGATAGAAATTTGCTCAAATAGTAAAAGAAACAATACTTCGTAATTCATTTGCACTTTCATGGCTGGGACAAGCAATTTAAAAGCGATTTCCTCTTATTCCTTAGAACAGTTTTTCACTTAAGTTAAAGTGAAAAATTTTTTTTAAATTTAATTACTTATTAATTAATATATATTTATTTATTTAATATTTTAAAAAGAACTCAATTTAAATTGGTGACAGTAAAACATATCATGTTAACATGTCTAAATATGAGTGCGGTCCCTTTATTATTCAACCTGCTGTGCAAGTGCCCCTTCATTCAAAAAGGTTGTGCACCCCTGATGAAGCTAATGAATTTTATTAGATAATTTTTTTTTTCAATTACATTTGAATTAATTATATAAATTTTAGAAATAAGATAATAAAACACTTTTTATTCCAAAAAATAAATAAATTTAAACCCCTTTAGGACAGGCAAAAAGAAAATGGAGCACTTCTACAGGCCTGCGCGGTTCAAGTTTATACAGATTAGAAAGGAGGTACACATACTAATGTGAGATGTAAAATGAGAGTACCAAATCAAGACCAAAAAGACTTTCACTGAAAGTATAAATCATTCATGATATTTTTTTGAAAGCAAAATTCGGTACAGATTAACTGGAATATTGTAATTAATATTGTTGTTAATTTAGCAACAGCCAGAGAAACTTGAAAATAAAAAAATAACATATAGAGACAAATATAAAGAGTATAACTGATAGCCACAACAGGACCCGGAGTTATGTATTTTTAGAGCTAATATACAAAATATCAGTGAGAAGAGGTACCAAAAGTGAAATACACCCATAATTTTTAGACACATTTCTACTCAATATTTTTGAAAAATTTTACTATTGAAAAGAAGTAAGGATACTTATTATCTTTTTAAAAAAATTTTTAAGATTTTTTTGCAAGGTAAATTTTATTTTAAGTTGATCTTTGTGCAAAATACAGAAGGACATTTCCAAATTGATATTTGTTCACACTGCAACAATAACGAAGATGCCAAAGAGTTTTTGTATATGCAAAGGTTTAAAAAAGAAATACACAGAATAGTTTGCACTATTCTGTAAAATATTTATATTTTTTAATTTCTTGTTGGTTGTTACCACTGCCTGATTGTTACCAAAGTTGGAAGACTATTTGGGGAAATTTCTATATTGTGAGCTGTGGCAGAATAATCGCCAAGTCCTGGCAACTTCCGAGCAGCGGCCCGCAAGAAGCTAAAAATAAACATCACAAAAAGGGACCAACTTGAAAGATATAACTCGTAACTAGCCCCGGGCAAACATCTACGACATGTTTTTTTTAAAAAAAAATTTTCAATTTTAAAATTTATTTGGAACCTTGGCGATTGTAGTTGGCGTGACAGATCAAGATACGGAAATATCCCCAACTATTTTGGAGCAAGTACGGATACTGAAATCTTCTTTAATTCAGTACCTCGTTAACAGTGAAAAATGTTGTAATATAATAAGTCTCAAATCTGTCTTATCAAATCTATTATCACAGTTATCTGCCTTTGTTACGAAAAAGAAACTCTGCGCACATGGGAAAAAATTACACAATTTATATACACAATTCTCAAAAGCATACACATTTTTGAAACAAATAAGAATTTAGAACCTCTAATAAGATCAACTATTTTCAAGAAAATGTTGCAAATTTCAAATATTAATTACAATAAAATTTCTAGTGGTACATTAAGATCAGTATAACAGTTATTTGACGACATCAAAGTACGTAATACCTGGAGGGGCAACAGAGAACTGCCAAGATCAACAGTTTTATTATGTTCTGAAGCTACGGTTGATGTTGGTGCCATCTTAAAAAGTTCGGAAGCGAGCTGACTTCTAATTTGAGTACGTAATTGGTTCAAAGAGCCACTTTTATCAAAATGAGCATATAGTTTTGATTTTAGCTCATCTGCGCTGAGCTTTTTATTTACTTTTTGACGACGGAACATTTTGTTTCGAATAAATGAACTTCGTTTACGAAGCTTTCACTTCAATTTGCTGAAACTTTAACCTATGTATAAAAAAAAATTAAAGAAGGAATATTCTTGTATACTTTACTAACATTATTAAAAACACTTCGCTACGAGATACGGACAGAACAAAACAAACAAACTAAAATAAATTTTCTAGACGAGACATGATCAGCATTGTTTCTAAGCCAAACTTACGTACGCTTTGTTCTAACTTTCTTGTAGTTATACAAGTTACTCTGACTTGTTGGACTATTCGAGATCGCTTGAATGGGCCATCTAGCGGAGAATTTCCTTTCAGGCTTTTATTTACTAAGTTTTCATTTAGTTAAATCAGAATTAGTAGAAAAAAAAAGCTTTATTTTAAAGCAGCAAATAAGAAGTAAAATTTCCCTAAGGAAAACGTAGAAGAACTTAAAAGACGATCCAGAACATTGGTAAATCATTTGGAAACAGAGCCCGTCGAACATTTGAAGAACAATTTCTTAATAATTTTTCCCTTTCCATTATCAACAAACTTGCGACAGCTTCAGACTTAGTGATCGCATACTGTTAAAGATGTGTGTATTAAGGTAAGATACATTTGTTTTGTCTTCAATTCACTATAAATTAAAGGGAAATTATTTCATTCCCCATTGCTTTCTTCATTCCAATAAGTAAATGTGATTTCAGAACAAACAGAATTCTGTTTGAAAATTTCTGAATATTCTTCTTCTTTATAGAATATGAAGGGATTTAATTATCGATTATGTCAACCTTCAGCTATCAAAAGGTACTTCAAGATAGAATTATGTTAGCATGCCTTACATACTAGTGAAATAGTATTTAATATTTATAAATGTAGTTACGCCACATTACTCCCCTTGCAGAATTTTATCAGCGATAGAATTCGAAAAGCGGATACCAATAGATAATTTAATGTTTTTTTCTTTTATTTATATCATTTTGCTCATTATAATTTTTTTTTTGTTTATAGCATTTCGCTCATAATTTTTTTCCCTTCTTTTTTTGTTTATAGCATTTTGCTCCTTTTTTTCCTCCTAATTTTTGTTTACAGCATTTCGCTCATTACTTTTTTTCTTCAATATTGTTTATAGACCGGAAGACTTTATATATTTCAACAGATCTTTTTTTCTTTGAGCAGTCTATTTTTATGCAAATCAACCGTTTAAACAGTGGTCCATCCATTAATGTTGGCAACTTCATATCACGTCGGCTGGTCACCATTACAGCAAAGATTTAGATAAAGCAAAACGAAACAGTATACGAATTAACATGGAGAATCGAACCAAAGTCTCATCAATGGGAAGAGAAAGCTAAATCACTTATCATATAAGCCATATCGGTTTTAGAATGTTTGTTATTTGAGTTATCAAAATCAATGGAAAAAATAAAGTGTATTATAAATTTTCTTATAATATAAACGCAGTGTATGCCGATTAAAGGAGCTGCTGAGCAGTTTTGCCATTCCTCCATCTCCCAATTTTGGTGAAAGTGGTGTCTATAATTATACAAACAAACAAATAAATAAAATTCGGTGTAAAAGAATAAATTCTCCTTTTGTCGGCTTTCTCCTATTTTTTTTCTAGACTTTTTCTCAACAAGATAAACTTAAACGACGAGAGCAGAGATTACAATCGTGATTTGAATATTTATTTTGTTAACCTTAATTTTTTTATTACATTAAAATGTTTTCTTACTGATAAATAGACAAATTTCTGATGGAATAGTACGTGCATTTTAGATAAAATAAGCTGAGGTCCTCTTTTTTGCAGTTCACAAGACAACTTGGTAGGTATTGGTATTAGAAGTTCATTTTAATATTTTAACTCATATATGATCAATTATAATTGAATTTATTAGCATATATAAATATATACGCTATTTAAGAGCAAATTTAAAAAAATATTGACAGAACAAACTTACTTCTTCGTTTCTTCCAAATAATTTAAAAATAGAATTCTTTAGGTTAAACGGTGAGACGTTTAACGAAATACCTTTCGTTATTGAATGCGGAGAAAGTGTGCATGTATTATAGTCAGTCTCAGAAAGCGTGGTAAGTAAGTGAGGACGATGGGGTAGGAACTATAGGACAATCTTCTTGTCTCCCCTTTGTCTGCCTCTTGTGCTGAATAACTTTCCATATGGACGCAAACAAAAGATTTGTCTCTCAGAAATTTCCAAGAAAAAGTGAACAGGAAGTTAGTGGTTAAATGTAAGTAAAAAGAACACATTCTCGTCTTCATATTTTTAATTTATTCTAATTTACAAAAAAAAGAGAAGAAAATAGAAACTTCTTTTAAGAATGTAATTATATTTCTTTTTAAGACGGTAGCATTTTCTCGACGATTTTCAATTTCGTCTCGATAAAGGGGTAAACGATGCCCGACAGGGAGGCAATCCCTCCCCCTCTGACCTCCTACTGCGCAGCGCCCTTGCTGTAGATTTGTATGTGTTGCTAAATATTTACTTGTAGACAAATGAAATATGTGATTATTAATTCATTTCTGAAAAGGATTCTAAAAGCATAGTAATAATGGCTAATAGACGCCTTGTATTTGGTTTAAGGTTAACAAAGTTAAAAAAAGAAATACTGATTGCGCAAACGTTGCATTTTTTCTTGATTTAAAGAAATGACATTAAAGTAACCTAATTAAATAAAAATTCAGAATAAAATGTTTATTACAGCTTATGTTGAGAATATTATGAGTATTTGAAAACAGTATTTTACAAAAGAAAAAGACTTATTCTTCTAATCTTTTAACATTGCAGTCAGTGATGTGTTTTGGTTCCGTAGATGAAGTTTAGGTGGTGGACTTTCTTCTTCACTGACAGAGTTACGACCAGAAGTAGCCTTCTCCTGTTAGTGTAGTTGAGCCACGTGTCAATGATTCCGGATTAGTAGAGCCAGTATATCTTCTTCAGAATTTCTAGCAGAAGAGCCAACAGTTGGAAAACTTCCAATTGAAGAAATTCCAGTGTAAAAGCTCACAGTGGGTGGGACCTTTCTTGGAAAGTCCTTAGTAGGAGAGTTCATAGTTGGATAACCCTTTGTTGAAGAGCCCCCAGTTGGAGAGCTCTTAGTTGGATCACTTTCAGTTGAAGAGCCTCTATTTGGATCACTCTCAGTTGAAGAGCCCCTAGTTGCAGAGCGACCTGTAGATGAGTCTTTAGTTGAAGAACTCCAAGTTAACGAATTCCGAGTTGGATAACTTTTAGTTGAGGATCCTCTACTTGTAGAGCGACCAGTAGATAAGCCTTTAGCTGAAAAGCCACCAGTGGTTGAGCTATCAAGGGAAGAGCCTTTAATTGAAGAGCTCCAAGTTGAAGGATTTCTAGTTGGATAACTCTTAATTGAAGAACTTCTTGTTGAATATGTCTTAGCTGTAGAACCTCTAGTAGGTGGACCACCAGTTGATATACCTTTAGTTGACCAGTGGATGAGTCCCCAGCTACCAGTGGATGAGCTACCAGTTGAAGACATTCTTGGGGAAGATGATCTAGGAGATGTAGAACTAGGTGCTAAATGCAAAGAGGGTAAAAATGGTCTTTTTTTATTAAAAAAATATTTAAGGTCAAAATGAAGCAATAATTTTTTTTTACACAATATTGTTATCAAATCAATAATTTTTGATGTTCTGGAAAGGAATGTTCATTTTTTGTGGACCATTTTAACAGGAAAAGAATCGAAACCGAAAGATAGATTTGAAAAGACGATGGATAGATTGAAAGGTTGGGAACGGAGGACAGATTAATGCCGAACTATTCAAACATAAAAATGATTCGGCATGATACGATACTTCCTAAAACTGATATTTCACCTAAACCCATTATGAAAATTATTTATACCATTGCGCATATAAAATATTAGTATTATGTAACAGAGATACTAAAATAAATGAAATTAGGGTAATTTAAAATGTATCAGTATTGTCTCGAATGTGAAAAATAGTTGAAATCAAAGTTAAGAAATAGATTCAAAGTATTTTTTTTTGTAACAAAAAGTAGATTTAAGATAATTTAATACATCCTGATTGTCAACAATGTGCCAATTTGCGCAATTAAAAAGATATAATTTAGTACATCCTGATTATAAACATATTAAGCTTACCTGGATTGTACCATCTGCCTAAAAGTTGAACCATATCATTAAATTGATATAAAATTATCACATTAAAATAAAAATTATTACAAACATACTAAAATTTAATTAGGGTATATAAAAAATTTAATATTTACCGTTATTAATCTGTTGTGGATATCCTGGGAAAAATTCTCACAATCAAAATTAAGAAATTTATTAAAAATATTTTTCTAAAAAGTTGATTTAAGATAATTTAATTCACCAGATTATGATTATGATCCCAGATTATGATCAATGGATTAAAATTACCTGCATGGTGCTCATATCCACCTAAAAGATAAACAACATCAATGAATCGTTGTAAAATTATCACTCTGAAATAAAAAAAAAACATTATAAACATGCTAAAATAAATTAAACTAGGTATTTTAAATGTAATTTAGTCCATTCTGATTATGAGCAATGTATCAAGTTTACCTGCAATGTGCCTATATCCACCTAAAAGAAAAATCACATTATTGATTTGATATAAAATGAAAAATATTACAAATATACTAAAATTAATTTTATTAGAGTATTTAAAATTTTTAGTTTACTGCTATTATTTTGTCCAACAAAATTAAGAAAAAAACTAATAAAAAATATTTCTTTTTTAAAGAGAAATAGATTTTAATGCAATTTATTACACCCAGATTATTAGCAATGCATTAAAATTACCTTCATAGTGCTCATATCCACCAAAAAGATAAACGACATCATTTAAATGTTATAAAATTATCACACTAAAAAAGAGAAATGTTATAAATATGCTAAAATAAATTAAATTAGGTATTTTAAATTTATCATTTTTATTCTGTTGATATCCAGGGAAATATTGTCACAATCAAAATTAAAAAATTCATTAACAATATTTTTTTAAAAATTGGATTTAAGATAGCTTAGCACTACCTGACTATGGACAATTTATTAAGTTTACCTGATGGATACGGCCATCCGCCTAATAGATAAACCGCATCATTGAATCGATATAAAATTATCATCGATATAAAATATTGCAACTATACTAAAATAAATTAAATTAGGGTATGTAAAATTTTGAATTTACCATTTTTTATTTTTCCAATGGCAGGCACTGAATTTGAATCTTTGCCTATACTATGCCAGAATTGTTGCTCATTTCGCGTTACCCAGTGGGCAAATGTGAACCAAAGTCACGGAGGCGAGCAGCATTGCCAACGCCACACTGCCACAAACCCGTTTATAGGGTGGACCACATTCACACATCACACACACAACAGAGGACAGCACAAAGAGAAAGAGAAACATCCACGCCCAGAGCGGGATTCGAACCCGCAGCCTATGGCTTCGCAGTCAGGCACGCTAACCACTCGGCCATATAATTCTGTTGTGAATGTCCCGTGAAAAATTGTCGCAATCAAAATTAAGAAACTCATAAAAAATATTTTTATTAAAAAAATAGATTTAAAATAGTTTAGTACATTCTGTTTATGAACAATGTATTAAGATTTCCTGGTCCCAAGATTACCAATGTATTAAGATTAGCAAATTTTCCTTGCTATATATTTTTACAAATCGTGCTTTGCTCTGAAACGTGGTATTTCGATACGTTATTAAGTTGCATCCTCAAATAAACTGTTATAAGATGATTTTAATTTTCTAGCGGTATTATTGACATCAATAATGATTAATTAGAATTTGAAAACATTTCGGATGTTTCTCACTTTAAACTAATAATTTGTCTCCCCTAGAGTATACCAGCTTTTTTAAATCAATTTTTCACAAGATTTGTTCGAGGACGAATATTTAATCAAAGACGATTTCAACTTTTGAGATGTTTATTGTTTTACGGTTAACGGTTGTTAATCGTTTAATGGTTTTATGAGGATTATTTTATTCATATTTAATGCATTTTTTTTTCAAAATGATAAAAAACAATAAAAAAATTGAAATTTTTGAAAATCATGATTTTAACAAATTTGGGGAAAATTCATACTTAACGTGGTTTGATCGTTTGACTTAAAATGCACCAATCAAGTACTCAAATTCTAAATAAATATATTATACTTTTTATTTTGATGAAAAAGCGACAAAAAATATTGTCGGTGCAAAGTTCTTTTCAAAACATTTAAATTCTGCTTTTTGTCTTTTAACAACCTGATCTATTTATAAAAAGAGAAGGAAAGTATATCTTAAAGCAAAAAGAAAGAATATAAAGCAAAATAAAAGAGAAGGAACATGTATATAAAAAAATATAACATAAAGAGAAGGAATGAAAATCTTCACACCTCTCTTAAAATAAAAACCGATTAAATTTTTAGGTTGGTTTTCGAACGCCATCGTTAGTGTATATTGGAGGGGGCTCCAAAAGCTCCACGTCAAAAAACTGACCTTATTTTATTTTGTACACTATAAAAGCGATCAAAATTCATACAATACCACTAATTTCCCCGTCTCCTTCGACGTGAAATTTTTCTGCAACTGCACCTAAGGTGAAACGTAATCTCATCATAAAATAAGAAACATATTGAAATATAATTTTAAATAATTTCTATTATTTCCCGTGCTTTAAATCGCTCTGTGTAAAGCTCTATATTTGTGGCAAATTTAACATTTAAGCATTGTATACGATGTACAATATTCCTTAACTGAATAGTTCAAATAAATATTATTTGTAATCTTGTTATAAGTAAAAATGCAACAAATAGAAATACAAATTCTATTATTAAATTAATTTGTAGATATGGCAAATTGAATCAGAAAGAACATGGTAATCTTTTAAACTTAAATTAAGAAAAAATTTAAGAATGAGCAAATATGAAAATTAAAAAGTAACCCAGCTTGGGGTATGTATTGACAAAGATAAGTTTCTGGCATTTTTGTTCTAACTCTTCTTTATATATTTGATTCTTATATCAGAGAGTCCAGCTCAAATTTCCATCTTTTCCAAAATCGATAAAGTAAAAATATTTATTTCTATGAAAACTATGAAAAATTTCCTCATTGTTTAAAGCGTCACTCATAAATATTCGATAGTAGTTTTTACGATTTAAATATTTAAGCTATTTTTTTCAAACAAATTTTCCATGATAGACGATGAATTGAAAATGAATTTTATTATTAGTTGCATGCGTTGCGTAGACGTTCTTCAGAGAAATTGTTCTTATTTACGCTTTAAAACTCTATCACAAGCTATTTTCCCCCATTTCAAATTTGGAACTTTTCAGAACTAATAATTTTTGAATCTATAATCTATGTTTGAATCATATTGCTATTTTTTTGTTTTTGTTTCTAATAATGGATGGATATGATGTGCAGTTTTCATTGAAGTATCCACAAATGTAATTAGTGGATACTATGACAGTTATTAAGCGAAAGTGTTATATTTTAATTAAGTACATTAAACATGAATTTTTTTAACATTAAAAAGTAACCATGTATAGCGATAAAAACTATTATCTGGCAAACCTATTAGAAATTGATGTAAACAGGTTGTCGAGATTTGGTAATGGCTGTCAAGGTTAGCTTTGCTGCAAATAAATGTAAAGTTTCTATACTAGCACTACAATAGATTTTAAATGAAATTTTGCATACATTTGGCTATCACGAATTAAATAAATTTTCTTTTTATTTCATAGAAACAAGAAGCTAAAACCAAATCAAATTGTTTGAATTGAAAATGTGGCGACGAAAGTTTTATGCACATGCCCGTTACACCTGTTTTATATTCTTTAAAACAATGGAAATGACAAAAGATCGCCATCTTTGGCAGAGAAAGGAAATTATCACGCTGTTGGTATTTTAGACTGGTATTGACATCTCTTATCTTATGACAAGAACAAGAAAATGTGAGTGTGATGCTTAGAGAATTTGATAGAGTTTTCAAATTGAACTATTTCAAATCAAATTTGCCAATCAAAATGATAAAGCAAATTAACTCAGTGCGCCATTGGTATGGTTACAATGTTCTGCTATAATTCAGTAGTTTACTGCTAACATGCATGCAAAAAATTTAAAATAAATTATAGGAATTTAGTAAAGCTGCGCGCTTTAGTGCGAAATATTTAAAGTTATTTTACTAAGTGATGTAAGTTATTGATTAAGTAATGTTACAACTGATATGCATTAAAAATTTCTAACTGGCGTTGAACAGTCAGCCCAATTTTGAATTTCAATGCTCAACTTCGTAGCCTAGTAATTTTGAACCCAACCCAATACAAGGATCAATGGATGGATCCTGGATCAATGAATGGGAAAAACTGAAGCAATATGAAATTGTTATTCTAACATTATAATTTAGAATTTCGACTTTAGCCTTCTAGAAGCACAAATATTATAGTTTCCGATTAAGAAGAAAAGTCTTAACGTAAACTCTTATAGCCACTATGCCTTTCGTCTGTGGAATGATTTAAATTTGATGACGAATACAAGGTAAGAAATGCAGTTCTTAAAAATTTATAACTTAATAATGACTTCAAAATAGGTAAAATAAAACCAATACTATTTGTATCAAAATTTCAGCCCGATGATATAAAAAATTTCAACCCCATGAAGAAATTTCAGCCCGATGAGCGAATGATACTTTGAGTAACTTCTGTTTTAGATATTTCATGCAAAATTAGTATTCTAAAGCTTGTTCCTTTTTTCATTTAGTGATTTACACAAATCTAATTGAAAATAACAAAAAAATGTTTTGTTTTACCTGATATGCCATCCCAACAGAAAAATACAACTGCCACAAAAAATAAAGAAATTTCCATTTTGGTCAACCATATAAACTGTAAATAAAAATCGTTTTCTTTTTATACCCCAGTATATCTAAGCATGATATCACGAATTTTAGTTTACATCAAGCGATAAGATTGGTTCTACTAAATTCGATATAACAGAAATCGTGTCATTGGATTTTATGGAATTAATTACTGCTGTTTTCGGGGAATAAGGGAATATCTACTTAATCAAGGAATAATATAACATATTTTTTTTGTTAGAGACGTAGCTCATGAAAGTCCAATCTTAGATGGTTACGATTGTATAATAAGAAAAGATCCGATAGTATTGTTTTGAATTCCAGTTAACATAATATGTACTTTATTGATAAAAATCAATAAAATAAATATTGTTTTAACTAGGGTACAAAACAATTACCCATAAAGCTTTAGTTTTTCAGAACAAAATATAACTATTTTGTTTGAGGGACATAATTAGTTAAAAGGATTTAAATTTTGTATTCGATAATTATTAAATTGTGATCCGTTTGAACGAGAAAGTGCTGAGTTTTGGTTAGGAAAATTATTGATATTACCTTTATTTAGAGCTTAAACCGGTTATGTTTTCACCTGCTAATATTGGGTCTATTTGTACGACACGCAGCTTTTGAAGCCGCTCCGAATTTCTTCAATTTTTGAGAAATTTATCGTTTAACGGTTAATGATTGTTAAATGGTTGATTTTTCGATTGATTGAATTCAGAATTTTAACGTGAATCAATACTTTAGATAGTTTTTTCAGAAAATTAAACAACAATAAAAAAGTTAAAATTTTACAGTATAATGAAATACATTGCACGATTTTTGCAAATTCAGGGAATATTTTTACTAAATGTGGTTTGTTCGTTCTACTTTAAATGCACCTACTGAATTCTCAATTTTTAAATGTATATTTAATACGAATTTTCACTTTAATTAAACACCCTGCTCGCACCGACCTCAGTGGTGACAAAAAATATCCTAAGTGGTAGACGGAATATGGGTTAGAGTCTCCTTGTCGTCAGATTAACCATGAGAGTTTTTTCGTGGTTTTCCTCTTCATGTAACGCAAATGTGGGTTAGTTCCATCGAAAAAAGAGGAAAAACGAATTCAAATTTGTTCTAATAATTGATCCAGGAGTTCACTTCCGGATTGGACTCAAAATTACAAGAGTACGGATTCGAACACTGTTAGTCATAAGCTCAAAAATGGGTCGGCTGTTCATTGACCATGATGGAATAAAAATAAAATATACATAAGTATAAAATATGTATAAGTATATATATTGTATATACGCGTATTTTATATATTGTAATGTTAAGGCGATGGGATTATTAGTTCCGAATTCAGATTCCATTTTTTTAGACAGTTTTAATGCTTGTTCATGACCTTTTTAGTAAACAAAGATACCAATCTCATGACTAAAGTTACTATCTTCCAGAAATTAATTAATTTATAATAAATTAATAAATGAATAAATTAATTAATAAATTAGGAGTTGGAAAGCTTATAATTGGCTTCTCTATATAAATAAAAACCTCTATATAAATGAAACAAATTATTGTATGTAACCTTGTTTGTATTTTTTTATTATTTTTCTACATTCTATTCTCTATTAATGGATATGAGGAAATAACAAAAAGCGACATTTTTAAATTGTTCAACAACCATTTTTATTGGAGCATTTTTGGTAAAAAACACTACACGGAGAAAAAAATCAAGAAAAATTACCGTAATTGTATGATTAAGAAATGTTTGGAAAAAAAATCAGAATTCTGGCAATTAAATCAAAATTTTCGTAATTTAAAACATCGAATTGATAATTTTTCCGCTCGTTATAAAAACGGTTTGTCTTATAAAAATAAAATAGTAATAAATTTTACAATATGTTTACATTTTTATGCTTTTTTGTAATGGAGGTTTATTTAAATGGTTGTAAAAAGTTAGGTGAAGGTTTATTTATTTTCTTTATATATTTCTCAAGTATAAATGTGGGAAAATAGGCCTAAATGATACTTTTAAGTGTTTGTACCATTAAGGTTTCTAATCTTGATCAATCAAACTATGATGCCTGTTTCCAGCTTCCTTAGATGGGATTTATTTAATTATTATTGGGACCTCTGTTGCCAAGTGGTATTGTCCTTCCACCAAATGCTTTGAAACGTAGAGGTAGCGGGTTTAATATCGTAGAGCTGTCTTCCTCCTTTTTGTGAAATCTGCTCTTCAATATGAAATGTGACTAGTCACTCTTTGTATTAAGCAAACGAGCTGGCATATGTATCTAAACCAATTTATTTATTTATTGTTACTGGTACAAGTTCACTGTGGGATTCGAACTCACTACCTCCATTTTGCACTGCGTTTGGTGAAAAGGCGAGATTTCTGCCAGAGATGGCTCGATTAAAACGAATAAATCAAAAACTAAACATTACTATTCTGAGCATACATTTATATTTTTATTGTTACATATACATATGCAAGCTTGTTTGCTCATTACGAAGTTCGATTTATTACATCATCAACTTGAAGTAAGGATTGTACAAGATAGAGATTACAAAGATGGATCTATTGCAGCATAGATGTAGCAGGTTTGAATATCTTTAAGTTATCGATTTAGTTTAGCCTTGACCCGATATTTGTATATTTAAAAAACGCATTTTTATAGTTTTAAAGTATGGTAGATGTTAGCTTATATAGAAATGTAAGCAGCTAACCAATGAAAAATAAAGTTAACAAGCGTTTACTAAATTAAAAACGAAGTTATTAAACTAAAGAGTTTTACGTAATAGTAAATTACACTAACAGCTTTAAAATTACCGCATTTTATTACATTTACAATCATACACTATGATTATAAAACCATATTTCACTGAAATTTTTCCAAAAGTCATTACCAAAGCGTTACGGGTAAAAATTACCGTAGTCTTTGATGTTCCCATAGAGCCGAAAAACACGGTAATTTTTACCATATTCTGGTATTCTTTCATGTAGTTAATTAGATGTTTTTGAGTATTGAGCTATCTTCTAGTGCGAATTCAATGAAAGTGTAAGATACTGTTCTGGAAACAATAATAAGGAGCAGTTCGGTAGGGAAAAGTCACCTTCCGGTAAAGTGTGGCTTATCCCTATATAGTCCCAACCTTTCCTTTTATATGATTTGAAAGGAATCTTGAAATCTGCACACTTCATTTTCTTAAGCAAAGTTTTTTTTCTCAAGACAGTAGGCATGTTGTTTAAAAAATCAAATTGTATTGAATGAATTATTTTTTGTACATGTCTAAATAAAGATAAAATTTTTTTTAAAATTAAAAACTATACATGAAAGTTAAATTTTGAATTACAAATATATAAATTTAAATATTTCAGCAAACAGCAAACATCTATAGTTTTCTTTCTTATTTCCATTTCAACCCCTAAATAGTTTCAGGAGATCTGAAAAGCTCAAATCTTTTGTAGTTGGAGCTGCTGTTGTTGTTGGCGCTGACGTACTCCCTCGATTTCTTCTTCCCTGCCATGGATTCGGCTGAGTAGTTCCAGCGGTGTTTACAACTTTCCTTTTTTTGTTTTTACATGAATCTAAACATAAACACGATGTTAAGTAAATAATACCAAAAAATTCAAGCGGTAAGATATTACTTAATTAAAAATTTCATTCGTTACGAAAGTAAATAAATAGGAAATAACAGTCGACATGTTCCAAGCGCACAAAAAATGGACACCGTGGAACATTTACCACATTCTTTGTCAATGAGACTGGGGCTACATAGGATAAGCAAGACGGGCTTTAAAATGTAGGGTTAAGTAACACGATAGATATGTCCGTTACTAAGAATACGAGAAATTATCTATTGCTGCACACTGTTGGAACCTTGGACATTGTGACATTAGGTCACAGCCTAATTTATAAATATCTTTTTTTAATCAATAATACTAATTTTTTTAATTTTGTAATACATTCTTTTATT